GCCGACGCCGCAAGTAACTTGAACTGATAAAATATAAGTATGACAATAAAAAAAATAACACATAGCGAGATAAAAGTGGCACTCATACCACTAAAGGCCATAAATGACACCTTCTACCTACCCCCTCCCCCCCCTTGCTTCTCCCACTTCCTTTACGCAACACGGTGTACACTATTGCCCTTTATTCATACAGACAAACCTTTTTTCGCTCCACACAATCGCTATTCACTGCTGCTAAGTCTAATATATATATATATATATATGCTTATGTATGTATATTAAAACTTTATTTATTTATATATTTATTTATATTTCCTTTTTTTAACGCAATGTCCACAAATATATATTTAAATATATATATTTATATGTGGCTTCTTCCTAATGAGCCTGCGCCTTCAATGAGTCCAACAGACATAAATGAAGACGGAAGAAAAATAACGGGGAAACAATAAAGGGCCGAGCGCACGCACACACACAAATACACACATATAAGAGGGAGAAGAATTGGTGGTAAAATCCAAAGCAACACAAAAAACAAAAACACAAAAAAAAATAAACGACACGTCAAAGTTAAAAAAAATTCGTACGTGAAAATATCAGGTCCCTTCAATGGAATCCACAAAAGAAGAGGGCGTGTGGGGATTACACACACAAATAAACAACAGAAGTAACATCCAACAACGACATCCACACATCCACAGTGAACCAACCGCAAAAACAAAACGTATAATAATTAATAATAAAAAGGGGGAGGGGGGAGGAGGGAGGCGGGGAACAAAAACAAAAAGAAGGTGAAAGTCCAATAATAATCATAAACTTCCTCCTCCTCCTCCCATCACGTAAAAACTTTACATAAATGCTCCCTGTGTGTGTGTGGGCCCGCAGGCAGAGAGCGCAGTGCTGCTCCATTTCCCCCCCACCCACCACCCCGGTTTCGGTTTCGTTTTTTTTTCCTTTTTTCGTCCTTTAAAACAACAACAACAAAATTTATTTAACTTCCCTCTCAGTCCCTCTCACAAAAAAACATAATTTTCCCCTCCCTTTCCATCTCTCTCTCTCTCTCTCTCTTTATATATAAATAAATATTTATATGTCCCTTTATTTAATTCAACAGATGATTTGGGACCCACGTATTGACTACACCCCCGCTATATATATATATATATGACAAAACAGCAGAAATAATAATAATAATAATAAAATATATGGCGGCTCTCATTCATCCCCCTCCCCCTAACCTCGGTGCCGCCTTCACACAGCCACGACTGCAATTCAAACGCCAACGCCATCCAACTTCGTACATAAACAACAGCAAAGGGGTTGCCGCCACACAGGCAAAGCAAGCACATGTATATATATATATATATAGAAAGATAGATGGATAGAACTGAATGCACAACAGAAGTCCAGTGGAAATGAAAAAGGATAAGAAAGAAACATACGAACACACAAACAAAAAAACAACAACAGCAGAAAAAAAAGGGTGTTAATGGTGGTGGTGGTGGTGGGAAAAAGCATACGGATAAAGTTAGAAGGAGTTCGCCGTCCCAGCAAAAGGCTATTGACACCATGTACACATCAACACATACATGTATACATAGATGTATACATAGATGTATATATATATATATATATAGATGTGTATGACTCTGTGAAAGGGGAATTCCCAGTAAAATCGTACCTGCGTGTCAAGCAAAACAAAAAGAAGTCAAAAAAAAAAAAAAAGAAGAAAAAAAGGATATTTTCATTCTATTCTCATTTCCACCACCACCACCACCACCGCCACGACGAATATTCATGCATTCCATTCATCTTTTCATTCCCTTCATTTCTCATCGTTACCTGTGGAACGAGACAGTTGAAGAGCGGAGCACCTGCGTGGATGCAGTTTCCGCAGCCGCCGTTTCTACTTCAGACGGTACATTCTGCACGAGGTCGTTGCTGTCTTTTCTCTCGTTCAGCCAGCCACCTTCCGAGTGCATGGAAGCCGAGTTCCCCATCCGCGTCCCTCTGCGCATCGTCCTCGACACTGACGCCGGCGAACGCGTCGAGGACGCCAATGATGCCGTTCTCCCCTGCACGGAGGCGGGGAACGTTATCGGCTCCCGCAGGATGCTGAGCATCTCCAGCAGCTGCACCGCCCGCTGCCGCTCCCTCTCGTCGTGGGCGTTTTGCCTGCGCTCCAACTCCCGCCGCTGCATCTTCCGGCGGCAGCAGCGGACACCGTAGATGAGAAGCAGCAGCACGGCGCCGAAGGCTACAAAGATAAGGAGAAGAATAAAAAAACCAAAAAAAAATTCCCCCCCCTCCCCCATCGCCGCGCACACTACACTACAAAAATAAATAAATAAACAAACAAACATACAGAAAAGAGAAGAAGAAGAAAAAAAAAAAAAAAAAAGGATGACTGGCGGGGCAAAGCACGCAGGGAGAAGTCACCACCACCACCCGCTCCGCTGAAGTCCGGCGGCACCAGCAGCCACAAGTCACACAAACAAATAAACAAAAAAAAACACGCAAAAAAAAAAATAAAAAATAAAAAAACAAACAAAAACCCCAGCAATTCACGCCCCTCTTTTACATCCCACACACACACACACACACACACAGACAGACAGAGAGAAAAAGGGAGAAAAAGGGAGAAAAAACAAAAAACAAAATTTCATTCGGCACCCAAACAAACGCAAATAAAAAAAAAAAGAAGGGAAATAAATAAAAGAGGAAAAAAGCCAGACAAATATGCCCCCCTCACCACCCCCTTCTCCAGCGCAATCACACACACACACAAAAAAAAAAAAAAAAAAAAAAAAATAAAACATATTTCAGGGTGTCGTCTTTCTGCCCTTTTTTTTTTTTTTTTTTCTTCTTTTTTACAACATCCGCAGGCATCTGCTACGCCCATCCCCTTCCCTTCCCTCCCCTCACTCTTTGCCCACGCATGCATGCATGCCGGAAAGAAAAGAAAAGAAAAAATGAAAAAAAATAAATAAATCAAACAAAAACAATCAAAAAAAAAAAAAAAAGTAAAAAAAAAAAAAAAGAGAAAATAAAAATCATAAATATGAATAAATAAATTAAATATAAAATAAGTGTAAATTATATCTGTGCACACATACACACACACACATATATATAAACACAACTACTCGGCGATGGCAAACCCAAAACAAACTTTATATAAATCAAAGACACAAAAATAACGCGCAAAAAATCAAACAAATTCATTTTATTTTTTAAATTTCTACAAACTTCCCCCACCGCTACCGCACTTACAAAAGAAAATAAATAAATAAATGAAGAGTACGTCCACAGAGGGCAAAAGCAAAAAAAAACAAAAAAAAGAAACAGTGCTATCATACAAGATGCGCCTGAAAAAAAAAAAAACAATAACAAAACCGTTCAATTCCCTCCACAATAGACAGGGAGAGAAAGAAAAGAAAAGATCTCACGGTTCGTGCCATTGCGCCCGACATCGCTCACACACTCCAGGCAGGACACATCCCGCGCCTACACACACGAGTCAACCCATTAGTCCGTACACCAATCCACCACAGCCGGGCTCCTTGCTAACCCACGCCGCGGCAGTCTTCGGGTTCACGTTTCCTGCAAAAGGCTCGGATAAAGATGCTTCACAATTGCTCCCAAAACCCACGAAAAACACGGAAAAACACCAACAATAGAAAAAGTTTTACCACAAAAAATATTTTCTCTAAGCCATTCGCTGCACGCAACACACAGACGGACAGGAAAAGCAATAATAAAAAAGGTAATGGCGTTCAATTAAAGGAAACAAAGAGGAATTCGACAGCACGACAAAAAAGAAACATCGGAATCAACAGAGCAGCGTGTGGATGTGCCGGCCATCAAACCTCTTCCCGCTGTTACCATCGTCCACCACAGAAACACATATGGGATAGTTCGGACGGTTGTGCTAAGAGTCGCAGTGTCCCTGCCTTCCACACATGCGGCCCAAGCCACCCTTTTTCCTACGGGTGGAGCAGGCAGCCAGCAATGCACTTGTGCGCACACAGCATGGCCCTGCTCTCACACAATCCTCAAAAACAACGAATTAACGCAACACACAAAAAGCTATCAGAAACACACAAAAGAAAAAACAAAAATAAATTGATGGTCGGCGCCGCGAGCCCCTTCGCTCCTATCTGAAGGTGACAATACACGTCAGGTTCGCTGGCCTTCTTCCACAGGCGGTCAGCGTGCCGAGGTGGTGGGGACTGTGCGGCCCTCGGTATTGACAGCTGCGGCAGCACGCGGCGGCGCCTCACACACATGCACGGGGCTGGCTGTTTCCGGGCAGGATGCCGCATCAGACTGTTGCAAAACACCGGGCACATCTCCTGCCGTCATTCCACTGCCGCTGCTGCTGCTGTGCGGGAGGTACGATGCACTGCCGTATACGGCGCTGGCGGGTCGCAGGCGGTACGTGGCCCCAGAGAGAGTGTTCAGTCTGCGGCTCGCCGCATTCACGTCAGGCAAGCGGAGACTGCGGTCAATGGGCACACCCTGCAGTACATCCCCTGACCGTGCACGGGGCAAAGCGTTTCCCTCCTCCACGGGCTCGGCGCTGGCAAAGTACTCGTGGGGCGTGGTGAGGCCGTCCCCCGGCAGCTCGCTGGGCACACGCGTGATGGGTACACCGTCCTCCTCGATCCGATGCTGCGCCTCCTCATGCGACGGGAACACGACTACCGCGTCAACAACCACCGGCAGTGACACTGGCGGGGCAAACGGCTCGGCCTGTGGGCAGTCGCGCAACCTTTCTTGCCGCCTCCGCCGCTTTTTGTCCTCCAAATGTCGTTTATACATATTCGCCGTGAGCAACATGAATAATAACACGAAGAAAGCAAATAACAGTGCCATGACTAGCATGACATCTTTTTTCATCGTGACGGTGAACTAAACTGGAAAGAAAAAGATAAGGGAAGGAGAGCTTGAAGACAGAGAGAGGAGGAGAACCCTACGCCACACCACCGTTGGGCCCAAGAAAGAAGGCCATTGCCCGCCGGCCACTGCACAGGACACACCGTACTGTGCTCTCAGGGGAATCGCAGGTGGAAACAAACAGCATGCGGGCGGAAATGGGAAAAAGAGGAAAACAAGAATGCGTAAAAAAACACGGTCAATTCACCGAATGAGGAGCATGCGTCCTGCTGGAGCCTTGACCCTTTTCCCTGTAGAGTGAAAGGACGGCGAATGATCTCACGGTTCGTGCCATTGCGCCCGACATCGCTCACACACTCCAGGCAGGACACATCCCGCGCCTACACACACGAGTCAACCCATTAGTCCGTGCACCAATCCACCACAGCCGGGCTCCTTGCTAACCCACGCCGCGGCAGTCTTCGGGTTCACGTTTCCTGCAAAAGGCTCGGATAAAGATGCTTCACAATTGCTCCCAAAACCCACAAAAAAACACGGAAAAACACCAACAATAGAAAAAGTTTCCATAAATCATGTTTGCTCTAAGCCATTCGCTGCACGCAACGCACACAGACGCACAGGAAAAGCAATAATAAAAAAGGTAATGGCGTTCAATTAAGGGAAACAAAGAGGAATTCGACAGCACGACAAAAAAGGAACATCGGAATCAACAGAGCAGCGTGTGGATGTGCCGGCCATCAAACCTCTTCCCGCTGTTACCATCGCCCACCACACAAACACATATGGGATAGTTCGGACGGTTGTGCTAAGAGTCGCAGTGTCCCTGCCTTCCACACATGCGGCCCAAGCCACCCTTTTTCCTACGGGTGGAGCAGGCAGCCAGCAATGCACTTGTGCGCACACAGCATGGCCCTGCTCTCACACAATCCTCAAAAACAACGAATTAACGCAACACACAAAAAGCTATCAAAAACACACAAAAGCCAAAAATAAATTGATGGTCGGCGCCGCGAGCCCCTTCGCTCCTATCTGAAGGTGACAATACACGTCAGGTTCGCTGGCCTTCTTCCACAGGCGGTCAGCGTGCCGTGGTGGTGGGGACTGTGCGGCCCTCGGTATTGACAGCTGCGGCAGCACGCGGCGGCGCCTCACACACATGCACGGGGCTGGCTGTTTCCGGGCAGGATGCCGCATCAGGCTGTTGCGAAACACCGGGCACATCTCCTGCCGTCATTCCACTGCCGCTGCTGCTGCTGTGCGGGAGGTACGATGCACTGCCGTATACGGCGCTGGCGGGTCGCAGGCGGTACGTGGCCCCAGAGAGAGTGTTCAGTCTGCGGCTCGCCGCATTCACGTCAGGCAGGCGGAGACTGCGGTCAACGGGCACACCCTGCAGTACATCCCCTGACCGTGCACGGGGCAAAGCGTTTCCCTCCTCCACGGGCTCGGCGCTGGCAAAGTACTCGTGGGGTGTGGTGAGGCCGTCCCCCGGCAGCTCGCTGGGCACACGCGTGATGGGTGCACCGTCCTCCTCGATCCGATGCTGCGCCTCCTCATGCGACGGGAACACGACTACCGCGTCAACAACCACCGGCAGTGACACTGGCGGTGCGAACGGCTCGGCCCGTTGGCAGTTGCGCAATCTTTCTTGCCGCCTCCGCTGATTCGCTCTCTCAAAATATGTCATGAGAGAAGGTAGAACGCATCCCACCACAACAATCAACATCAGCGCAAGTGTCACAAGATCAATTAAAAGCGCCAGCCTCATGGCGACGCTTGGTGTCTGTTAAGGTCACCTACTTTGCAGAAAAACCAAGAAAAGAAAAAGATAACTATTGACACCAGCCAATTTTAAAAAAACAGGAAGGTATGGCGTGTGCGTGCCAGAGGGGAGGTAACGTAGCACCGAGCGTGCCACGGAGGTCCCTGCCCCTCTGCTTATCGCTGGCGTTCTCCTCCGTTAACAGAAAAAGCAAAGACTGCAGCGGGGTAAATAGAGACAGTTGTACGCACACGTGTATGAAGGGGGTAAGAAAAAAAAAAGGATGCAAGGCATCGGAGAGGAAAAGAGCACAAAAGACGAAGGATAACCACCATGCTACACGGCTGACCACCAGACCTCCTCGAACGGCAAAGTGATGGCGGCCAAAAAGTCTCTGGCATCCCCATCATGGCAGGACCAGCCAGGCATGCATGTGGTAGAAACACACAGGAAACAAGGATGAGGCATTCAACAACAACAAAAAGCGATGTCAGAAAACAGTATAAAAAAATCAACGTTCTTGTGGGCGCTTCGACGGAAGAGACACACAGGCATATATTTGCCTCTCTGAGGCATCACAGTACCAAAAAGTTACAAAAGTAAAAAGTAAAACTAAGAAGCAGGAATAAGACAAACTGCTCAAGGCAAGTGAAAAAGCAGACTTTGCTAAAACACGCTCTCACTGCACACTACTCTGGCCTC